AAGGAGGCATTGAAGCATCAATGGATTTCCCAATAGTAGATGAATAGAATCGCTCTTGCAACACCACTTCCAACTTTGACTCGAGCCATCTCCAAGACCGTTCTGTACAACAGGCGATTTGTATCCGCAGCTTCCCATCGTCACCTCTGACGACCACACGTTCATGCAGACAAGCAGGACCGATAATAATATCGTAGTCATGCCCAAGTGACTGGTTGGTGAGATTCATCTGACAGAAATCAACCCATGCCGCGTCGGGACCTTCAAACCAGAAAACATTGAATTTATCCTCCCGCCCATCCTCCCTGACCCTGTAAGCTTGTTCACCATGAAGGATCGATGTCTCGACCCTGAATGCAAAGACCCCAACAGCGTCGTCCGTGGTCCTCACCCTTCCCACTCGGAATCTCAAACAAACTCCAAAACGAATGAGTGCATTCATGCCCCAGGGCACGTTTTCCTCTTACTTTTCGGAGCACTTCTCCTTGAGGATCGGGCACCTAATCCCAAAATGAACGAGTGCGTCCATGCCCCAGGGTAATGGCTCCTCCTGTGTTGGTCGTGATCTTGGTCTTGGGTCTTGGTGTTGGTGTTGGTGTTGGTGTTGGTCTTGGTGTTGGTCTTGGTCTTGGTGTTGGTGTTGGTCTTGGTGTTTGGGTTGCGGGAGGGCACGTTTTCCTCTTTCTTTTTTGCAAGCAAGCTGCCAACAGTCCTGAAAATTGCGACAGACTGAACGTTAAAAAAAAAACCCATTCCAAAAAACTCTTGGTCGACCCAGTACATCCTTGCTTCAATGGTTAATCCAGACCGTCGCTCGATCAGCACGCAAACGGACGCGGTTCCATGCTTCGCCTTCTCCACTGCTCCAAAGAAGATCAATACAAACAAGAACAAGAACAACAACGAGAACAACAACGGGAACCGTGACCTGCCTGAAACGCCGCCTGAAACCAAGTCAGATCCAACGGAACAGCTCATCTCACACATTCAACGGCAGCTCCACAAGAAGGGATTGGATGCACACCCGAGGGCTTTTGCTGACTACCTTCAGCAAATGCGCGACCTTCGCGACAACAGAGAGCTCTTGATCTGAGGGTGGGGGTGGGAGGGGTGGAAATCAGCCCTTACAGCTCCGAATGTTTGGGTTTTTTTTAGGGTTTAAAATATGTACACCATGCTACCTTCCAATAAATATTGAGTATTTGTCACTATGAACATGGAGGGATGAGACTTGCTTCTCCCCGCGTATTAAACGCAAAATCCTCTTTAAAGATCAAATGGCAACTCAATTCGCAAAGAAGTATCTTGCCCAAGGCCGCGTCGTCTTCCCCGTCGGGCTCAGCATACTTGAAGCAGACCTTGGTGGCAGAGAAGCCAGTGGAGATTTCGGGACCAGACACAAGCACCCCAGTAGCCAGAAGTGCTAGTGTCAGTTCTGGGTCTACCGAATACACCTCAGCAGAGGAGGCGCTCATCGCTTTGGATCTCCAGGACAGGGTCAAGGAAGTGGCAAAGCACGTCAAGAAACTCTCCGCCGAACGGGCGATCGATCGCAAGTCGTGGATCGAGGTCGGAATGGCGATCCATCACGCCACAGACGGACAGGGAATGGAACTCTGGGACCAGTTCTCCCGCCGGGCCGGGCCGTACGACCGTGCCGTCCTCGAAACCCGTGGGACTTGTTCAAAAACGGGTCTGGGATCACCATCGGCTCCTTGATCCACTGGGGCAAGGAAGATTCCAAAGCGGCTCGAGAAGAAAGAAAGGTGGCGAAGGAGCAATTGGAAATGACAAAGACCAACGATGATCTTCGCTGCGAAGCTGTCAAGTTTGGCGTGGATCACACGGACGGAAAAGGGGTCTTTGAAAGCTAAGACGATCCTGGTGGGTAGGTGAGGGTAAGGGTTAGGGGGGCCTGGTAGCTCAGTTGGTGAGAGCGTCGGCCTTCGACCGAGAGGTCGGGGGTTCGAATCCGGGTACCTGCGCGTAATGCG